AGGACGGAAGGAAGGACTGTGGGATTCTTGGTGCTCTCTGAGCTTGGTGGTTTTCTTACAGACATTTCACAGCCCAACTAGGTAACGCCATCAGTGTTAGAAGAGAATTGGGTTTATAGGGAGGGAGGGAGAGAGGGAGAGAGGGAGGGAGGAAGGAAGGAAGGACGGAAGGAAGGACTGTGGGATTCTTGGTGCTCTCTGAGCTTGGTGGTTTTCTTACAGACATTTCACAGCCCAACTAGGTAACGCCATCAGTGTTAGAAGAGAATTGGGTTTATAGGGAGGGAGGGAGAGAGGGAGAGAGGGAGGGAGGAAGGAAGGAAGGACGGAAGGAAGGACTGTGGGATTCTTGGTGCTCTCTGAGCTTGGTGGTTTTCTTACAGACATTTCACAGCCCAACTAGGTAACGCCATCAGTGTTAGAAGAGAATTGGGTTTATAGGGAGGGAGGGAGAGAGGGAGGGAGGGAGGGAGGAAGGAAGGAAGGACGGAAGGAAGGACTGTGGGATTCTTGGTGCTCTCTGAGCTTGGTGGTTTTCTTACAGACATTTCACAGCCTAACTAGGTAACACCATCAGTGCTAGAAGAGAATTGGGTTTATATGGAGGGAGGGAGGGAGGGAGGGAGGGAGGGAGGACGGACTGTGGAATTCTCTCTGAGCTTGGTGGTTTTCTTACAGACATTTCACGACCCAACTAGGTAACGCCATCAGTGCTAGAAGAGAATTGGGTTTGTAGGGAGGAAGAGGAAGGAAGGAAGGATGGAAGGGAGGGAAGGAAGGACTGTGAGGTCCTTGGTGCTCTCTGGGCTTGGTGGCTTTCTTAACAGACGTTTCACAGCCCAACTAGGTAACGCCATCAGTGCCATTTATCCTCCTGCCCACTCACTTTGGCTTCCAGCTCGTTGAGATCCGACTGGCCCATAGCTGGCTCGGCTACCACTTTCTGCAGGAGAAGCAGCGACTGTTTCTTCGTTTCCAGCTCTCGGGGGAATTTCTCGGAGACCAAGTAAGTGTTGAACTTCGTCTCTTCTTCAAGGCTCTTCATTAAGCCTGAACAACGAAGCAGAACAAAAACTCTTCACATCCGCACGCGCGTGTCTTATAAACGGAGGGCGGAGGAGGGCCGCTCAGCCTCAGGCTGTAATCACTGTAATTTAGACCCAGCTAATTGAGCAGCGGATTTGCGGCTAATTTCTGTGGGAGCCAATATGGGAGGAGGCCCCTCCGTGCTTCAATTGGCAGAGATAAATATACGGCATCTTAGCAGATAAAAAAGAAAGCTGGAGGAATAAGAAATCCTCAAGTTGCATTAAGACTGTCTGTTGGGTTCCTTTTTAACTTGTTGTGTCCCATTGTTTTTTAATAATTCTTTTTAATTCTTTTTTTCATTTCTGTAAACCGCCCGGAGTCGGCATAGAAATTAAATAAATGAAATGAAATGAATGAAAGGGATGGAATCAAGATCAAGGGAGGTGCTAATACCGCTCCGTAAAGCCCTAGTAAGGCCACACATAGAGTAATTCACCCAGTTCTGGTCCCCACACTATAAAAAAAAGAGGTTGAAGCTCTAGAAAGAGGGCAGAGAAGAGCAACCAAGGGGATTAGGGAATGATTGGAGGCTGAAAAATACAGTGAACGGTTGCAGGAACTGGGCATGGTTGGTCTAGGGAAGAGAAGGACCAGGGGAGACAGGAGAGCAGTCTTCCAATATTTGAGGGGCTGCCACAGAGAGGAGGGGGGGGGGTCAAGCTATTCCCCAAAGTCCAGACAAGGAAGAATGGATGGAAACTGACCAAGGAGAGATTCCTTGGAGTCTCGGAGAGTCACGAACCAATNCATCTCAGCATCTTAGCCCCTGAGCCACCGCGTCCCTAGTTAAACTTGACTCTATTCCATCAAGAACCAGTTAATAAGGAGTCTTGTAAAAAGCTAATATATAGGGAACAAGGATTTGTTATCCATTCTGCCCAAACTACAGGTTGAGAAAATACACTTAAGTGGGGGCTGCAAATCTAAACAACAGCAGCCTATATTGTATTACTTAAATACAAATTTGGCTGTAAAATTGGAGACGGCCTTGAAACCAACCAGAGGTTGGTTTCAAGGCCGTCTCCAATTTTACAGCCAAATTTTGTACATTTTTAAAGTCTCGGTCTCCCCCTCCCGCCTGCTGTGATTTATCGTTTCCAATAAAGACGCACCACGGAGCCCTTTCTGCCGTTCCTGCTTCCGTGTCAATCAAAGGCGTTTTATTGGACAGGGAAACCGAGATCAAACCCCCCGCACATCTGTACGTCTAAATTTAAATCCGTTTCTCTCTTGCCAACCTCTTGATTTCGCTCCAGCTCAGATGCAAACCCCCGCTTCTCAGCTGGTCAAGCCACGGAGAGAGAGAGACGCTGACCGACAGCCGTGTCTTTGCTTCTCACTCGAGACTGACTGTTTTACTAAAAATAAGCAGGCCGATGAGCACGTTAACTAAGGATGCTTCTTTGGGGCTTCTGCTAATAAGGAAATGGATATTGATTGGCGAATTTATGACCCAGAGGGAAGAAACTGACTTTGCAATCTTCGGGCGTTTCATGAATGAAGGGGCTGGGGGGGTTCCAGCCCCTAGGATAATCTCCAGGGAGGCCCCCCGCATTGTCCTGAGAAGACCCCTGCCATCTATTTCAAGGCTTGTGGACAATGCAACAGAGAGGGAACGCGGAGCCATCTTAGGCTAACCTGGTGGCTCCAGAAGGGAGTGGGCTACAGTTCCCATGCTCCCCAACCAGCCTGGAATGACTCTGAATATGTCCAGGCTTATGCCCCCCGAGGCTTCCCGAGGCCATCTGGCCAGAGCCCCCTCCCCTGGAAAAAATATATAATAGCAACCATCTTCTATAGATGGAATGGCCTTTCCTCGTTTAGGAAAGAGAAGGATAGTTATTATTATTATTATTATTACTGTGCGGTCCTTGATGGTCTCGGTGCTTCGTTTCTCGCAGGCGTTTCATGACCCAACTAGGTAACCTCATCAGCGCTAGAATTGGGTTTGAAGGGAGGAGGAAAGGAAAGAAGGAAGGGAGGGAGGGAGGGAGGGAGGGAAGGAAGGACTGTGGGATTCTTGGTGCACTAATAGCAATAGTAGTTAGACTTATATACCGCTTCCTAGGGCTTTCAGCCCTCTCTAAGCGGTTTTACAGAGTCAGCATATTGCCCCCAACAACAATCCGGGTCCTCA